CATTTATTAAGGCCTACTGCATGAAGCTTTGTTAGCAGGAGGTAATACTGTTATAAATTCCCCATGGTTTTTTACTCTCTTGGTGGTGGTTGCTTTTTTTCAGGAAGCACCAACTAATAAACTTCTCTATGCCAAGGATATCCCAACCTACAAAGAAGAAGTAAAATCTTATTACAAAGCAATCAGGGATTTGCCTCCATTGTCACCTTCAGAAATGGAAGAATTCTTAACTCAGGAATCTAAGGTATCATTAGAAAGCAGAAATATTTGGTTACTCCTTTATAAAAAAAAAAAAAAAGTCATTTCAGAATCTCTCAACAAGCCTTTCTTTTAGAAACATGAAAACGAATTTAATGAAGAAGTGGCCTTGACAGAAATCTACAAATACATCGTAAAATATTTTGATGAGGTAAGATTTTAAATAACATTGTTTTTTAACCTATGAATCAGTCACAAGGACTTGGTTATAGCGTTCTGTAAGTTTCAGGACAGCTCTGGCATCCCAAATGGCCAGAAAGGAAGGCCAGGAAGTCTGAGATGGGGGATCCTGGCACTGAGCCAGACCCTGTACACGGCTGCCCCTCTTACCGTTTTATCATGCTGCCCACCTTTGGACCAGCCTGAATTTACATTTGAGGTCATGGGGCCTACAGCCACCCTGACTCAAGTTAACTTTGAGTAAGTAGTGGCCCTATTAAATAGGGTCAGCTTATGCTTGATTGTCATCTGCTAAAAATGAAAGCTAAGCTTGTTAAATTGCCTAGATTTTGTATTCAATAGTTATATGACATTTCTAACTTAAGCAACTATTTCAATAAACCATTCTCCTTTGATTAATTCTCCTTAATCTGGATTTTTTTCTTTGGGAATTCACACAGACACATTCATCAGTTGTTGTTTCCAAATATATGTTAATTCCCCCTTCCCTGATTCCCCCCCACTCAGTCATGCTGGGACAGGCTATCCATGTCACTGGTGAGAATAGCTCACCAATTCCATTTGCTACTTGAAGATCAAGTGAAGCGCTAAGGTAGGGTAGAGGCAATGAGTTCCTTAAACATGATAAGCATCCCTCTTTCCAGGGGTCAGGGGAGAGAAGGGAAGCACTGGGGATGGGGGAGGGAAGTGGAGGGACTACACTGCCCAGGTCGGGAGGGAGGTATTAGTCTCTGACCAGGATGCCCTGCCTGCTGCATTTAAGTAGAAATACTTGCCTGCATGTTGGCTGCTCAGGAATGCTTGCTGTGCTTGGAATGGCTGTGACATAATGCATAAAGCAGGGCCTTGGAAGCCTGGCCCCATATTTGTAAGCAAATTGTTGGTATTTCTTGCGAGCTTCTATTTTAAGCCAAAGTGTTGTTGATCCTGTGATAATGACTTAGCAAAACAACTTGCAAAGTGAGTATGTAAATGATCGAAGAAAATGTTGGCATCTGTTTCATACAGATTTTACCACTCACGGCATCAGGTATGCAAAAAAACAGAATTGTAATGCTAAAAACCACAATATCTAAAATAACTGTTCTAATTGTCAACAGATTCTAAATAAACTAGAAAGAGAACGAGGGCTGGAAGAAGCTCAGAAACAACTCTTGCATGTAAAAGTCTTATTTGATGAAAAGAAGAAATGCAAGTGGATATAAGCACTCTGGGGCCTGGCTTAATCTGGCAAAGTTCTTCAGACGACTTGGGAGCTAAATGGCTGCTTGAGCTACTCTGTGTCGTTAATTTCTTGTTTGCACATAGGTTCCACTTTGAGCACTGTCTTTTTAAGAGACCAAGGCACATGCACAGCTTTTAGAAAGCATACCAACCGTTGTGCCTGTGTGTATACTGTGGGAACCCTTCTGTAAATAGAGTTGAAGTGGTTGTTGCAAACAGCCTCCTTGTTTACAGAGAATACAGGGCCAGTAAGCAAGTGTCAGTATTGTAACTACAGTCTCCACTTAAGCACAATGATATAAGTGGTTTTGTTTGAAAACTACAGCTATGTAGCACTTGTGACTACACTGCACCTCTGCAGAAAAGGGATACTTGCCAATGCTCAAAACAAAATGTGAAATGAGTCATTTGGAAACAAGGTGGAGGTGTTAGGGCAACCTTGAGGATTTGCAGCATTGAAACTTTCCCCAGTAGTTCTTGGAAAAGCTGACCGCAGAATTTGGTAGTGTGTACACTTAGCATTTGTGAGTGTGTGTGTTTAAACCAAAAACTAACAGTGTTGCAACATTGTTGAAAGGGCTCGTGTTTTTCAGTGGTCACCAACTGCATTCCATCCAACTCACCTCCATTTCATAAAGGAGCTCTAAAGCAAGGAGAGTGAGTGGGCTTTACTTAAATGAACAGCATTTTACCCACTTTGTCCTAACATGTTCCTTTTTTTCCCTTCATTTTTTGTTCCATAATGTATTTGATAGTGGACATGTTGGGTATTATACAAAAAAATCATTAGTCTGCTTCAAAACATTTGATCAGAACTATCTGTGGAAGAGTAATTTACTCTTCTAATCCTGCATTTCTAAGATACTAGTGTCTCCTTGCTTTAGGTTTCTGGTGAACCCTGTGGTTATAAATACTTGTGTGTGATTTGAAAAAAAAAAAAATACATTTTACATTTCATCAAATTGCTGTTCACACTGGAGTATTATATATAAATATATATATTTGAGGCCCAAGGCCCAAAAAATATTAGTATACAACTTGGTATCTTAGTCTTACTATGTACTTTTGGAAAGTATTCCTCACAGGAGAAAGAATTTAAAATACCCACTTTATTCATACCTTTCTTTTTAAAGAAGTCTCTAGCCAGTTCTGTAGTCTTTTTATTGCCGATTTTTTTATTCCTGAATTTTTGCTGCTCATGACCAATTTTAATACCACTGTGTTTTTCCTTCTATTAAACCAGAAGAAGTAAAAAGTGTAATTGGCAACTCAAGCTTTTCTTGTGACAGGCACCTTTTACCCTTGGTGCTCCAAATCCCTGATCTAGGGAAGAATTTTTTTCAAGTCAAATCAAACATGATCACACATTCGTTAAAATCATTTACCAATACTATATGGAACATCAGGATTTAAACATGAATTTGTCTTAGATAAATGCAATTCTTTTTTGCTCCTTAGTATCTGGTAAAGAGAGAGAAAGGTGATACCTCAACAAACCGATCAGAGAAAATAAGCAGTTACCGCCCTGATAGGCACCTTCCCAATCCTTTCGCTTTTGACCACTGTCTGTCCAATGGACACACCTCAAAAATACTACCAAATAGGTTACATAAAGGTGAGAGGTCTGGTCCCCATATAAGGCTGCTACAGTCTTCAAAGAGGTGAAGGAGTTCATAAGAGAACAATAGTAGGAGAGTTGAGAGCCAAGGGTAGGAGAGTTGCCCAAAAGACTTCCCCTTCTTAAGGGTACAGAAAACTCAAAGGATCAGCTACAGCTTTATCTAAGTAAGTATTTACTAAATGCTACACGAAGGTGTCCCTGTCCAGCTCTCTGGCACATGAGTCCTGTGTAGAGAGTTACCTCCTCTTCCAGGGACTGTGCTGTTGGGAACTTTGGGCAAGTCACTTACCTCTTTGTGCCTCAATTTCTGTATTAATATTTCTAACCTACCTCACTGAGGTGGTGTGGAGATTCACTAATGTATGTAGCGTGTTTGTCAATCCTCCAGTGAAAAGCACTATCTAGATCACATTTTGGATCGCATTAGCCAAAAGCAGTAAATGGCCAAATTAGATGTGTGCTGAAGACAATCAGTCACTGGGTCTATATTAAACAGCAACAGAGAAACAAATGGCAAACGATTTCTATTTTCAAGTTTCTTTGCATATTTTTTTGGTGCAAAACCATTTATAAACTTTTTTTCCTAACACTAGTGTCTACAGCAGCATTTAAAAATTAATTCTGTTACCTTTTCCGTATTAGGATTTAAAGTCTATTTCTTACTGTATACCTGATTGAAGCTGTTCTTGGAGATGAATGTTTTAAATGTCTATATCCAAAAATAAACATTTTGATGTAACTTTGGACTGGACTGTTTGTCTTTTTTTCAGTTTACTAGTTATAATTTTTTATTCTAAGTGGCTCCATCGAAATTATTTTTCAGGAACAAAGTGTCACTGTATACTCTATGTGAATAAGCAGCTATATTATGGAGTAAGTAAACCTAGTGTCTTGCTGAATGGTGCTAAGGGCTGCTGAATTACACTCCTGACCTCCACCATCAACTTGGACTTTTGATTGTGAAGACTTCTGGATAATGGACATTCTCCACTTAGTTTGGCAGACTTGAGCTCTGCCTCATTGACAAGAAATTATTCCGGTAGAATTTCTCTACAAGATGTTACATAAAAAGCTTCTGAAGGGTACACAATGGGAGAAAAGAAAAGTAAATGATGGCATATTTATGGACACAGAGAAATAAAACATTTATCATTATTTGGTTAGATCCAAAATAGTGGGAAGCAAAGTTAAATGGCAACAATACCTCTATAGAGACCCCACTGGGTTCAAGTTTTATAATCAATGCCCCCCTAATTTAATACAGCCACAGGATTTAATTATTTATACTTGTTATTTTCTGTTCTAATTCAACAAAGTTAAACTCAGTGAGATCTTCTACATTGCTAAATATATGCTGTATGCTCAAAAAATCAAATACGAAATACAGTTAGAAAAATATTAAGTTCTTTAATAAATTATATGCACAGTTTTTAGAAAAGGTAGCCTTTTATAATGAATGGAGATACCTTTAAGATTTTTTTATGCAGACTTTTAAATTGTCATCTTTCTTCAAAAACTAGTTTATAGTTTTTGTATATAGCAAACCAGAAGATGTTTATTGACTCTGTTTTTGCCAAGCATCTCAAAGATGAGGAAAAGGGAATTCAAGATGGGCATATTTCAGGCAAAAATATTCAACAAAATAAATAATTTTATAACTTGATTCCCTAATTAGTTACTTTTAGTTTTTGTTTTACATTCTCAAAGGGTAATCACATATTCTAAATTTCTCTGAAACTTTCTTTTAATGCATCACTTGTCATCAACTAGTAAAATCCTAAAATCTTGATAGTCATGCAATATAGCACGTAGCTGGTACCTTTTCTTGAGGCACGTTCAAGTATTTTGGCAAACAGTAATAAAGTATCTAAATGCCACAAATGTTAAACCTTCAAGCTTTATGGAGTCACTGATTTCACCTCTTTTGGTCTGACTTTTCTCCAAGAACTTCATTCCCCAGGAGGTCCAAATTCCTCTAGTTGTTTTCTTTGTGTTGTTTCTAGTTCTTCTAGTCTTTTGCGAAGTAGAGAGAGTTCCCTTTGATGCTGTTCCTCCTTAAAGTTATGCACAGAAAACACAGCAAAAGAAACCGTTAGAAAACCTTGTAGAAAAGTAACTTATGCAGCAGGCTGAGTCTACCTCTTTTATACAGGCCTGTAACATCTGGCAAGGAAATGACCACTGTGGCAGTCTAAAAACACAGCAGCAGGGGCTAAACTACTAACTAGTTGTCACTTCTTTCCTGCCTCAGGCTGTAGCCTTAAGCAAAACCCAAAATCTGTTCTTCTCTAGGTGTAAAATTCACCAAGGAGTGAATCAGAAATATAACACTAATGCAGGGCCCAGGCATATTTATATGGCAACTTTCTGTAATAAGACTGTTTATAATAAACTGCTATTAAACTCCAAAGCACTTAGCCTGATATTAAATTCAGTGACTAAAATCTTCTGTGCTTACATTATAAAACAATTACATATTAATAGCCTATCCTCTGAAAACCATTCAATTTGATTCCTTCACTATCTCAGAGCCCTGCCTGATACAATAGAAAGAGCCCAGGTTTTGGATTCAGAAAGCATTAGATTTGAAACTTAACTTTGTCACTTATTAGCTATGATCTTAGGCAAGTCTGACTCTGACTCAGTTTCCTTGTCTATGATTTAGGAAAAATATCTGCCCTCAAAGCATTTTTCATGAGTATTAGATATTGTATGGAAAATGCATAGTTGACTGCATTAATAAATGCTCAGTAGTAATTAGTATTATATGAGTAAGCTACAAACTCTAGGTTACTCAAAGACTCATTAATAAAGTGTCTTCTATTGCCAAACATGAGATTTCACTCCTAGTACCACCACTAAAGAACAGAAGAGATTCAAGTCTACTATATTTCTCAGCAAATTTGTATGGTAAATGTAAAGGAAGGAGTTAAAACTGACCGGCTTTAACTGTTTACATCATTTTTGTGGCAAATTTTGAGCACTGATCACATTTACATTTGAGTTTTAACTCTATATTTAAATAGGTAAAAACCTACAGAAATCTTTGACAAACTTTTTTTCCTAAAATAAATGCTTGTACCTGCATATGAGGAAAGGATGTTTCCATGCCTAGAACCATGGCTGATGACTGAAAGCTAGCAGGATTGATGGATGCTGTTGGTGGCATGTTAGGAACCAAAATGAGACTTCGAAATTCATTATGTCGTCTTTGTATATCCTTCAGTCTTTTCTGAAGCCTTGTATATTCTTCGAATGGAACATTTTGTCTTAAAAAGAAAAAAAAGGCATTTCTGTTCTTTAACAGTTACACTGTATTGAAGAACTGTATGATTCAGAGAATATGATTTTAAATTGGAAGAGAAGGATTTCTAAATTTTAAGATTTATCTATATATCATATATAGATGCAAATCTGTTTACCTAGAAAAATAAACAGAAAAATGACATTACATCTTAATCATATGAGATTATCAGCATTGCAGGCTGTCAACTCACAAAGTTTTATTTGCTAATTAATCAAAAATTTAAAATCTTTGATACTTTTACTTTCATCCTCTCCCCCAAATTCATGAATCCTAAAACTCAAAGGAGACTCTTTAAACCAAAAGAGTGCCTTATCTTACACAAAAGGAATCAAATAAAAATATAGTTGTCTCTCAGTGGGAGGGATTGGTTCCAGGACCTCCCTTGTATACAAAAATCCTTGTATACTCAATTCCCAAACTCAGCTCTGTGGAACTTTCATATAGAAAAAGTCAGCCCTCCATATATGCAGATTTTACATCCTGCGAATACATGTTTGGTTGAAAAAAATCCAGACCTACGCAGTTCAGGCCCATGTTGTTCCAGGGCCAACTGCAGAGAAAATGATGGGTCGAACCTTATGAAATTGCCACTTTTCCAGATGAAATATGGCCAAATATAGAGAATCTCATACAGTTCAACCTCATTTTTAAAATGTAGGTGTGATATTGTGATATAATAAGAAATATATATTTGGTCTCTACCCCATTCCAGCTCCTAAAACCCAGGGAATCTCCACAATGATAAGAGTGTCTTTTGTATGCTAATGAGAAGAATGGTGGCTGGGGGATAGCTTCAGGATGGGGCAGGTTACCAGAAAGACCAAGGAATGGTTAGAGGGTTGAACTTTCTGCCCCACTCTCCACCTGTGACCACTGGGGAAGAAGAAGGGCTGAAGGTTGAGTTGATCACCAATGGCCAATGATGTAATCTGTCATGCCTATGTGTGTAATGAAGCTGCCATAAAAACCCGTAAGTATAGGGTTCAGGGAGCTTCTGGGTTATTGGAGGTTCCTGGAGGATGGCATGCCTGGAGAGAGCATGGCAGCTTCACAATCCTTCCACAAGCCTTGCCCTATGCATCTCTTCCATCTATCTGTTTATCTGTATCCTTTGTAATGTCCTTTATAATAAAGTATTATAAAGCTGGTAAATGTAAATAAAGTATTTCCCTTAGTTTTGTGAGCTGCTCTAGCAAATTAATTGAACACGAGGAAGGAGTCATGGAAACTCTGATTTTTAGCCAGTTGGTCAGAAACACAGGTCACAACCTGGGGCTTGTGATTGCATTCTGAAGTGGGGAGCCATTGTGTGGGCCTGAGCCCTTAACTGTGGCATCTGCTATCTCCAGATAATAGTGTTAGAATTGAATTATAGGACAATTATTGGTGTCCACTGGAGAATTGATTATTTCGTGTATGGGGAAAAAACCCACACCTCTGGTATCATAAGTGCTGACTGTGCGAACATGAAAAATACTTTGGTTTATCTTATTTCACAAAGGTGAAGCTATTCAACTTTAGGAAAAAATAGCATGAAGATAAAAGCTAACTTTTCAGGTCTTCACAGATCATCTTTTTGGACATGACTTTCCTGACTATCAATCACACCAGTAATCAAATATAGTTTCAAAACCATTCAAAGCTAGATGATCTGTGCCATAGCTGCCCAATCTTGAATTGATGGTATTTCAATATTAATGGTTACGGAAGAGGTACTAAGTTGAATTTTGTTTTAGAATCAATTTGGTGGCTTCCTACTTTGGAACAGAGTATTGTAAGTTTGGCATTATTTCCATAGTCCAAAAACCTTTTAAATGTTCTAAAATATATATTAAAAAAAAAACTTGTAATAATTATTACCAGAAAATACCAGTATACATCATAAAACATCAGTGCATGATATTGTAGGCAATTTCCATTATAGAAAAGTCTAATACTTTAATACCTAAAGTCCTGAAAGCCACCCCTAATTAGCGAATTCGAAAAGATTTTATTAACTTAAATGGGTCATCCAATGCCACTACCACCAACTCAATTTAGTAAATCTTCTCAGCTTAAAAAATGCAGCCAGATGCAGAAGCCCACACCTGTAATCCCAGTGCTTTAGGAGGCTGAGACAGGAGGACTGCTTGAGGCCAGCAGTTTGAGATCAGCCTGGGCAACATAGTAAGACTCCATCTCTACAAATATTTTTAAAAACTATCTGGGCTCGGTGGTGCACACCTGTAGTCCTAGCTGCCCAGGAGGCTAGGTGGGAAGATCACCTGAGCCCAGGAATTCGAGGGTGCAGTGAGCTGTGATCATGCCACTGTGCTCCAGGCAATTGAGCGAGACTTTGGGGCGGGGGGAAGGAGGGAGAGGAGAAAAAAAAAGAGCTAATGATGCTAATTACTAGCTGTGCTTGGATGTGACTGCAAATCCAGAAGCTATAGCCCAATAATATTTTTCCACACCAGGAAACCAAAAACTGACCTTTGATTCAAAGTTGTAGCCACAATTTCCAGAACTATGCAATAGCTACAACTGTATTGCCTTGGCAGCAAGAACTCACACCATTCCTGGCTACTGAAGCCAGTGACTGACCTCTTCTGTCAGTTCCAACCGTAACACAAGCACCTGGCTCGTGATAGAGACCTTTTGGTTTGAAGGAACATTCAGTTAAAAAACAAAGTAAAGGGGCCCAGCGCAGTGGCTCACGCCTGTAATCCTAACACTCCGGGAGGCCGAGGCAGGTGGATCGCTCAAGGTCAGGAGTTCAAACCCGCCTTAGCAAGAGCAAGACCCCGTCTCTACTAAAAATGGAAAGAAATTATCTGGACAACTAAAAACATATATACAGAAAAAATTAGCCAGGCGTGGTGGCACATGCCTGTAGTCCCAGCTACTCGGGAGGCTGAGGCCGTAGGATTGCTTGAGCCCAGGAGTTTGAGGTTGCTGTGAGCTAGGCTGATGCCACGGCACTCACTCTAGCCAGGGCAAAAGAGTGAGACTCTGTCTCAAAAAAAAAAAAAAAAAAAAAAACAATGTTCTATGACATCAAAATAACCACATGAGGTAGATACACATAAAAACACATTACCTATTTAACACCTGATTTTCTGTTTCCAATTCTTCTTTCTTTGCCTCCAAGACTTCTACTTTCTCCTGTAGCCTCTTCAATTTGTTTTCATGAAGAGATTTTCTCTAGAAAAAGAGAATATGAACCAATGTTTAATACATAATCTCTTATTTGACAAAACTATATAGAGAATGTGTTACTCACCAAAAAAATTATTTAGAGGTGAATGTTTTCAGTGAGGAAACATTTGTTTCTTTGTTCACTAGGAACAAGATTAGTAGATATGGTTCTTATTAGAAATTGCAAAGATAATAAACCACAGATCTACCTCATCTCCATAGTGTGACGAATAGGACTATTATGAATGCCAAACCAAAACGTTGGTATCAATAACTAAATTGCTGCAAATAAAAAAATCGAAAAGGGAAGGAGTCAAATTTTACTAATGAGGCTGCCTGTCATCTCAGAAGAAATTACAAGCTCTTCATTGTCCCAGAAGATATCATGTGTTTAAAGGAACTGAAAACTCAAAATTAATACAATTTAAAATATAATTTACAATTGATAAATTACTACCAAAGCAATAAATTAAAGGATCAGAAAGGTAAAACAGATTATGGAAGCATCTCAGTTTAAAAGTATGTCTTTCTAAATATTAAAAGGAAAAAATTTAAACTTTACAATATACAAAAGGAAAAATTCCTAAAAGTAAATACTGTATAGTTTCATTAAATAATATGGAAAAATCCAGTACAGTGCAAAAGGAGAATCTGAAAAAAATATTTTTTCAGTTTTTATGAAGTTTTTTTTCATAGAAATACACCTATAATGTTTAAAACTCACTTAATAGCTACCACCTTTTTAGGTATTTGTTTTCTCTTTTTATTGAAGCTTACAGAAAAAATGCACAGAATATAAATGTAAAGCTAAATGAAAAACCACAAAGCAAATACTGTGTGATTACTTCATAGATCAAGAGCACTGCCGTGCCAGAAGTGTCCCTACTTTTCCCCCTTCCATTCACTAGCCCCTCTGTCCTTTGAGAGAGTAATCAACTAGTTTACTTTCAAAGCTATACTTTAGTTTTGCCTATTTTTGAACTTCATGTAAATGGAGGTTGAATTGAGGATAACCTATTGACTTGGTACCCTTTATTTAAAAGATCATCCTTTCCTTATTGAATGCAGTGGTACCTTTTATGGTAAATCAGGTGTCCAAATATTTGTGGGTTTATTTCTGGACTCTGTTCCATTTGTTTATTTGTCTATCCTTATGCCAATACCACACTGTTTGAATTACTGTAATTTATAATAAGTGTTGATATCTAATAGTGTGAGAGTGTAAGACCTCTAGCTTTATTGTTGTTCTTCAAGATTGCTTTGGTTATTCTAATCAAGTCCTTTGTATTTTCATATAAATTTTAGAATCTATTTTCTAATTTCTACAAAGAAACCTGCCCTGAGATTTTGATTAGGATTGCATTCAACTTATAGATCAATTTAGGAAGAATTGACATCTCTATAATACCAAATCATCCAAATCACAAATACGGTACAGTTTTCCCTTTATCTAGGCATTCTTTAATTTTTCTTAGCAATATTTGTGTTTTTCAATGTAGGAGTCATGCATGTATTTCATCATATTTGTCTTTAGGTATTTTATATTTTTTATGCTATTATAAATGGCATTTAAATATTTTATTTTCTAATTGTGTGTGGTAAAGAAAAATAATGGATATTAAACTTGTATCCAGCAATTTAAAAAATTCACATTAATCTTAATAGTTTATTAATAGATTTATTTGCATTTTATGCATACACAATCATATTTTTGAATAACAATTTTACTTCCTCCTTTCCAATTTTTATAGCTGTATCTTTTTCTTGCCTTATTACACTAGCTAGAACCTCTGATAAAATACTGAACAAAATAGTCATAGTGGACATATTTGCCTTGTTCCTGACCTTATGTGAGGGGGAGGAACATCCCACTCATCCAACCAATTCCCCTTGATACCACTCCAATCAGGCTTACATACGTACCACTCTACAGCAACAACTCTAGCCAAGGTCACCAATGACCATCACATAGCCAAATCTATTTTTGGTCTTCATATTACGAACTCTCTTACCATTTTATCATCAATGTCATTTGATACAGTTGACCCTTCCAGAAGCATTTTCTTCCTCACTTTCTTGGTTCTTCTCCTACTATATTGGCTACTCCTTCTCAGTCTCCTCCGTATCTTCTCAACTTCTAAACTTTAGAATTCTGTAAAGCTCAATCCTCAGACTTGTTCTCTTCTCAACCTTCCTTCACTTAGTTGACCTTATCTAATCCCATTGCTATAAATACCATTTATATGCTGATGGCTCCCAAGACTTCATCTCTAGAACAGTCCTCCCCTGAGAACTCCAGATTCATGTATCCAACTGATTACTTAACATCTCCACATGGAGCTCTAATGGGCCACTCACAAAGTTCATGTGTCCAAAAAGGAATCTTTATTTTACCCCCAAACCCGTTCCTCCATTGTCTGTCCCATGTCAGTAAATAGGAAGTCTGTTTTACCAATTGCTCAAGTCCAAAATCATAGTCATCTTTGATTCATCTCTTTCCTACTCTACAACCATATAAGCTCTACCTTTAAAATATATACAGAATCTGAACACCACTCTACCACTAGTTCTCTACTCCAAGTCACCCTGATCTTTAACCCACATTACTAAGAAGTGGTCTTCCTGAGTCTTCTTTTGCCCCTCTATACAACAGCCACAGAGATTCTTCTAAAATATAATTCAGATATTATTTCTCAATTCAAAAACCTCCAGTGTGTTCCTACCTCACTCAGGATGAAAGCCAAAGGGCCTGCATCCGCAGGGGCCTGCAACTACCTCTCTCTGTTCTTGTCCCTGGGCCTCCTCATGCTCCTTCATCAAACCAAGCAGATTTCTGTCCCTCTCTCTTACTTGCTATTCATTCTGTCTGGAACACTCTTACCCTATATATCACAATATGGGATCCTTTCTCCTTTCCTTCAGGTCTCTCTCAGATGTTACCTTATCAGAGAAGACTTGCCTGACCATCTATATAAAACAGCATACCTGCTTCCATTAATTTTCCTCTTAACACCCACTATAGCACCACTACCTTATACATATTTGATACTTTATGTCTCTCACTCACTACAGCATAAGCTCCTCAGTGTGGGGTCTTCGTTTACTTCTATATTCCAGTGAATGAGTACATACTAGGTACATAAGTAGGTGCTCAATAAATTTGTTGAGTAAATTGGCAACATTAATACAGAGAAACCTTGTAGTGAAGAGAGTCTGAGTGAGGATATTAGTAATAGCAATGAAAAGAAATGGGGTGTGGGAAATTTGAGAGACATTATAAAGGAAGAATTCATAGGTCCAGTGACTGCACTGGGCTGAATAGTGTCTCATGAATTTTTGATTCATGTCCACCTAGAACCTTACAATGTAATTCTGGTATAATAAAAAATGTATTTGGTCTTTGTCTCAAGTTCCTGTCACAGAGTTCTTAAAACCTTTGGAATTTCCTAAGTAATAGGAATATCTTTTGTAATTCATAACAGGTCCCTTTCAATCACACCTGAATTTACATCAGTGAGGTGACTTAGAGTCAGGGCCCTAGACAGCCTTGGGTTGGGGGTTGGTCATCAGAAAGATGATGTGCATGGATGGTGGATGCTTTCAGCTCCACTGCCCTGGCATCCAGGGAGTAGAGGAGGGCTGGAGATTGAGCTCTACAAAAACTCTTGCACAACTAGATTCGAAGAGCTACTGGGTTGGTGAACACACTGATTTTCAGGGAGAGTGGCTCACTCAGAGAGGGTGTGGAGGCTCTGTGCCTCTCCACCACTCACCCTCCATGCCTTGCCCTATGCAGCTCTTCCATTTGGCTGTTCCTGAGTTTTATCCTTTATGATAAACTGGTAAACATAAGTAAATTCTTTTTTGAGTTCTGTGAGCCATGCTAGCAAATTATCAAAGATGAAGAGAGGGTCATAGGAGCACTTAACTTATAGCTAGTTGGTCACAAGTACGGGTGGTTCGGACTTGCGACTGGTGTCTAAAGTGGGGGCAGTCTTGTGGGACTGAGCCCTTTAACTTGTGGGATCTGAGAATTGATTGCTGGTGCTGAAAAACACCCCACAGTGACCTTATTTGGAAATAGGGTCTTGGCAGATGTAATCTAGTTGATGTTATACTGGATTAGAGTGGGCCCTAAATTCAATGTGACTAGTGTCCTTATATAAGAAGAGGGAAATTTAAACACAGAGATACAGACACACAGGGAGGACACCATGTAAAGATGGAGGCAGAGACTAGAGTGATGTGTCTACAAGCCAAAGAACACCAAGGATTATCAGCAACCACCAGAAGCTAGGAGAGAGGCATGGAAAAAGGTCATCCCCAGAGCCTTTGGAAGGAGCATGGCCCTGCTGGCACCTTGACTTCAGATTTCTAGGCTCCCGAACTGTGAGAGAACAAACTTCTGTCATTTTAAGCCACACAGTTTGTGACGATTTGTCACAGTGGCCCTAGGAAACGAATACAGTGACAGACTATACTTGGAGAAAAGGCAGTTCTCAGGATGAATCAAAGGTTTGAAGCCTAAGTGACTGGAAGGATGACTTCTAATGAAAGAATTTTCTGAGGGGAAATTGGTTGAAAGGAATGATTTTAATTTTTACTTCAGCAGCCCAATACAATCACAGGATAGTCAAATGGATGCCTTAGTGTTACAAGCATTATGACACAAAGGAATAAAAGATTAAAAGAATATGGATACAAGACTCAAAGCTGGGAGTCCCCTTTTACCACCTTCTAGTCAAACCCAGTGAACTTTTTTCAACAATCATGTTCAATGACCATTTACCTTTGATACCTTTCTTTTCCTTGGCTCCCATAACACCATATAACTTCTACCACTATGACCATCGTGCACCACGCCTAGCTCCTCTTTCCAAATAAACTTAGTCCTTAGCCCTTGTATTCTTCAATTATCTGCACAATCTCAAGTTTCTAATTACACATCTCTAATTTGAATTACTCATATCTATACTTCACATTCCATTATCTCTAGTTAACGTATACAGTATCTTTGCTTACGCGTCCAAAACCTGTCTACGTGGATGCACAGCCATCACTTCGTATCTGATGTGTTCAGTCAAATGTATCTTCTGTTTCCACTCAACTGACACACATGTTCTTCACTCCAATAACTCTGCTTATATCCTCTCAAAGCTAAAATACTTCATATTATTCTTCCTTATTTACCACTATTCTGTACTTTTTTCCCCTTCAGAATACCTCTGGGAGTTACCCTTCACTGTCATGCCCACATTCCAAGCCCCAATTCCAGACTTCTTACCCCACTTTAAGTTTACTATAACAGCATCCTAACTGGTTTCCCTGTCTTCAGGTTTTTTCTGTCTGACACAGTGGTTCTCAAACTTTAGTGTCCATATAAATCACCTGGGAGTGACTGATAGTATTATTTAGGTATTTCTTGCATGTTATCTTATTTCTCCAACTAGATTATATGGTCAGCACGAGCAGGGAGTAACCATGGCTTCTATTTTCTCCCCAGTATGTAGCATAATCTAGGCCACACAACATATTCAATAAGGTATTTGCAACTTCAAGACTATGATTCATCTCTTTTTTGAAAACATTCACAACAGCATCTGACCAAGAATTATTTCAGAGAGATTTACCTTGGAATAAAAATAACGAGTTGTGATTTCGAGTGCCTTCAAAAGGAAAAATAATTCATTTTGTTCACTTCAAGAGATCTCTCTTCATACTCATACTTCAACAATGGGGGTGGGGAGATATCAGGGAAGTCGTCAATCACAGAAGGGCATCCCAGCTCAAGATCCCTGGTCAAGCCCTTCCACTCGACACAGCAAAATACCATTTATACCAAAGATCCTACCAAAAACACTTACCAGAAATGACATAAGCTTTGTGCCTAAGAGGTTGGAGCTCTAAATAAACACACTCAGATGGCAGTGAGCCATCTTATCCATCCTGAGGAAAAAAATAAACTTGCTACTCTCTAGTTACAAGAATTATTCATAGGAAAGTAACTCTAAAGGATGATTTCTGCCCTAGGGTTCATAATTTGTGACTGTTTTAAGTCTTACTGCATAATAAAGTGATGATTTTTGTCATTTAAATAAAGAACCTCAAAAGCTGTTGCACTCTTATGAATTATATTTCTATAATCTTATAGCCAACATTTTCATATAGAAGCATTATCTTTAACTTGAATAGGAAAAAGGTATGAGTTAATTTAATTTACACTGGTTATTCTGACACAGGAAATAAGACTCACATGGACCATGGCTATAATGAAGAGAAAAGCAGTGAAGTATCTGGCATCAAAGAAAGTGGGAAAGTAAAGAGTATCAGTGCCGCGGAAAGAGCACTGGGCTGAGAACAGGAAAATGTAGATCTCAGTCATGGCTTTGTTCTTACTAGTCAAGTGTTCTTGGGTACCTACTACTTCAGTTTCCTAATTTGTAAAAGCTATCTGAATGCTGAAATCCCTTCCAGTCCTAAAATTAAATACAATTATATACTCTTAAATAGTATTTCTATGTCACATACAATGTTTTTCTACTTTAATTGATATAAAATTATAAGCTCCTAGAGCAGTGTCCCACCTGATGGGGCAGCTCTAGGTCATAATTATGTACTGAACTGACTTTAAAAATTTCCTGTGACTTAAATCATAATCCACAAGTCACATTTTAAAACATGAAATGAATATTTACTATGTTAACACCCATAATTTGGCAACTATTTCAGTAGAAAAAAAAATTTATCCTGGGTCACAATACTGATGAAATGTTACTCTGTAGGTTTTTTAAAATATCACCTCCTCCCCTCTTTCTGGTATACTTATGATTAGTTGATAATCTCTCTCACCACTGGATGTCACTTTTGTTCCAAAAGAAGTCAACCCAAACTAACCTCAATAATTAGAATCTGATCTCTTAAGATATTTATCCCTAAAACCTCAACATAAAATTTTCTCTGTGAAAGATAAAATCAGCTGTTATAATTTTTAGTGATTTCTTGCTGAAATCTGGCTTTTAGATGCTTCTAGACTTCAAACACAGTACAAAGAAGCATAAGTAGGAGTTCTGAAATCATCACAAGTCATAAAAAAATTCACTGAAATCCCATCAATATCCATATACTTTTTAGTACTTACATGGACAGAAAGGAAGAGAAGTGACATATGTAGGGAAAAAAACAAGTATTTATATTTGGGTATAAAAATACTAGGATTCCCATATAATAAATGTTGTTTTTCTAATCTCAATATTACACTACCTTTAGCATTATGAGAAGAAAAAAGTAATATTCAGAAACCAAGGAAGTAGGGGAGCACTGACTTCTAGACGACCCATGTTGTCACTTCAACTGTCCGTCACATTTGCAGTTATATCCAATAACGTAAAAAAGTGGCTAAGAACTGTGTCCTTGGTTTCCAAATTCAGAATATGTGAACAATCTAGAGTTATTTTCTCTAATGCAAATGTGAATAGTTAACCTTTCCAATAAACATACAGATATTAAGACACTGGTGCCTAGATCTAGAAACATCTTCCTTTAATCTCAGAGTTTCTCTCCTTTCTATAACCAATGCCACCACTAAGGGAATTTATCAAATGGAGACATATCAAATCATTTGTGGGACTTTATATATATATGTATATATTAATACACACACACACACACACACACACACACACACACACACACACACAACCATGTCCCTCCCCACACCCCAATCCTGTTGAAAAGAACTGCACTGCCACAGTGAGTCACAGTTACTGATGGAACCTGCTACATTCCTGGAGTTTGTAAACAGTAAAAAAAGTTGTAAGCCACTGACTTAGATGAATCATCTGGCTACATTATTTCTATGATGCCCTGGACTGTTTCTAGGAACACAACGTTTTTAGGTTCTAAAGAAAAGTATGCCTGCAAAGGTAAAATTTAAAAAGGATCAAGGCTGTGGGATGTACCAGGGCTCTTTCAGAAGAAGGGGGAGTCCTAGTTCCTCTGCTGGGGCAAGGAGATACTTGATCCCCTAGCTCTGAGTTAGAAACAAAAAAGGCTTTTAACCACAAAAGTGACATCATAGATATTAATTAGGCGTATTTGAAACAGGCCTAATGACATCCAATTTAACCACAGAATGAGTTAAATAAGACTCGGATGGGCAGGCCTGGAAACTTTATCACTCTGAAAAACACCATTTCTGTGGGACAATACATGTCAGATCTAAACAAATAACTTTCACACAAAATTTAGAAACAAACCTGTTAGATAGTTTGGATTTTTCCCAATTTATCTCTGCAAGGTTGACAGCAAAATGTTATGTTTAAATATCGAATTTAAAAATCCCTGCTTTAATTCTACATTTCATTCTTCTAAAATAGTTAATTATGTTTTACTCTACAGAAATCACTGTAGTAAGAATGACTTGCCTTTTTCTGGGCAGTTGCAGCTCGCTGAAGTTTCTCTTTAGCTTGATTATACTTTTCTTCTCTGTCTGTGATACGCTCATGAAGCTTATGCTTTTCCTCCAACCACTGCATCTGTTTCTCTTCCAATGTCCTGCCAGAATAATGTATGCAAAGCAAGGAGGTCAACATAAACTATTAGGATTAAATAGATATCACAAGTATAAGCAAACTCACTACCTGTCTAACCACACCTTTAACTATCCAACTGTTTAATATTACCATTACTAAGCACCTCCTATGAATCAGGCACTGGGCTTAGAACAGTGTATGTATTACATCATTCATTTATTCTTCACAAAAACCCTCTGAGTTAGGTACTTGTGTTACCTTTATACTTCTGTCTTTCCAATAAATGAGGAAACTGAGGCTTAGAGCAGTTAACTGACTTGCTTAAGGACTCACATCTAGTTAATGGCAGGACAAACATTTGATAACCAGGTGTGAACTATGGTAACCATCAAGCTATAAAAACGTCACCTAATAAAGTTACTTAAAAATCAAGTCTTAATGCAGTATGTTTTCTGGCTAGAATGAAATTCATATAAATGATATTTTAAAATAACATTATAACAACTTACATTATTAAAGCTATTCCACATTTTTATATGATTTTTAGTATCCTTACTATAGGCGGTACAAATGAGAATAATAAACCCTGAGAAGTTAGATTTCTTGCCTAAGGTCATACAGATTTTAGATATTTTAGCTGGGTCTAAAACAAGTTATATTGACCCCTAGTCCAGCTATTTTCTTCTATATAATCCTATGAATAATATTCAAAAACCAATGATGAATTATTTAAATTTGCTAGCTCCACTGTCATTATAATGCTTAAGCTCATGTCAATCAAATAAATACTTGAGAATTCCAAGAAACAATTTTTTTTTTTTTTTTGCAAATACAAGAAAAATAAGTTGGATCATCTAAAATGTCACAACAAATTATGAACACATACCTTGCTTACTTCCTTCTCCTCAAATTCAACTCCATATATGAAACCATGGACAAGCCTTAAAATATGAAATAACAGGCTGGGCATTGTAGCTCATCCCTATAATCCCAGCACTTTGGGAGGCCAAGGCAGGAGGATCACCTGAGGCTAGAAATTCAAAAGCAGCCTGGGCAACATAGAGAGACTTCATGTCTACAGAACATTTAAAAATTAGCCTGGCATGGTGGCACACACCTGTAGTCCCAGCTACTTGGGAGGCTGAGACAGAAGGATCACTTCAGCCTAAGGTTGCAATGAGCTATGACTGCACCAATGCACTCCAGCCTCGGCAACAGAGAGAGATCCCCATCTCTAAAAAATATATATATTTGAAATAACAGAAGAACTGAAGAAAAAAAGTTTTATGTAGTATGGTGGCCTTCAGAACAAATTTGAAAAAATACTTTGTAGATTAAAATAAAAACATGTTATTAAGTATAAAATGTCCGATTTCCTTAAGTACTGAGTTTGACAGTTAATATCTGTGACATTGCACTTTGACACTTCTTGTTTTATTTTTATTGTAAAGGTACATCCTCATTCTTTCAAATACACATTTTGACTTGTGATTATCTTTCACATTTTTTGGAACAATTTTTATACAAGCATAAGTATGTCAAAAATGTATATTATTTTCAAATATGAGTTCTATCATATAACCAATACAACACAGCTCAAAATATCAACAAAGTGGAAAGGATGTGGCTAATGAACACACGGTACGTCAATAGTTTAAAAAGTTTCTTTCTGGTACTTTCCATCTTAAAAATGAGTCATGTGGACGACCTGAGACTAAGATGGATAATGATAAATTAAAAACTGTAATGGAAGTGAATTCATCTCAACTTACGCGTAAATTAACAACAAGGTTTGACTATTCCAATAATATTAGACCATTTAAAACGAATTGATAAGGTAAAGAAGCTGGATAGATGGGTACTACATAAATTAAACAAACGTCAAAAGAAAAACTGTCTTGAAGCTTGCCTTTCTTTGCTGTCACGACATAAAGACAAACCATTTCTACACCGAATTGTTACGTGTGATAAAAAACAGATTCTTTTTGACAATCACAAGCACTCAACACAATGACTGGATAAAGATAAAATGCTGAAACACAGTCCAGAAACAAATATTCATCAAAAAAACCTACAGATGTCTGTTTGGTGATCCAGTGCTGGTATTATCCACTACAGCTTCTTTATAAAACCTAGTCAATAAATTACAGTGGATGTCTACTAGAACCAATTGGACAACGTGATGAGTGAGGACGCTTGAGATTAAACAGCTGAGATTGGTCAATAGTGACAGACCAATCCTCTTGCAAGACAACGCTTGACCACATGGTCTCACAAACAACGCTGCTCAAACTACAGAGACTGGACTTAAAAACTGTTATCCACCGTATTCACCAGACCTTGCACCAACTGACTACTACGGATTCCAGACTTTGGACCACTTCTTACAAGAAAAAATATTCAATTCTCAACTAGCTGTGAAAAATGCCTTTCACGATTTCATCGCAACTCACTCTCCAGGCTTCTTCACTGCTGGCACAAACAAGCTATTGTCAAATGACAAAACTGTGCCAATAGTTTAGACACATACTTTGATTAATTGTACTGCTTCTTGTTTGAGATATACCAAACAGTAGTGTCCTACCACACCTAAACAAATTTTCCCAGAAAATATAAGATCTTGAACACCATTAAAATCATTTTTTCCCTACCAGCTTATGACACCATCTACTACTAACAAATGTGAAGACCAAAAAAAAAACAAATTCATTTTTCAAAGGGAAAAATCCAAGAGACAAGTTCTAATTCTAGGAAGTGTTATACATCAAAAACAAAACAAAAACCACTTTGTTCTATGACACTCAGAAGAACAGTTTAGATTTTTGAAGAAAGAAATGCTTTACTCAATAAAAAAAAATTTTCTTTGAGAGTTTTCAGAATACTATGCTCAGGCAGAATTTTTTTTTTTAATTTTTTGAGACAAGGCTCGCTCTGTCACCCCGACTAGAGGGCAATGGCGTCATCATAGCTCACTGCAACCTCAAACTCCTGGCTCAAGCAATCCTCCTGCCTCAGCCTCCCTGAGTAGCTGGAACTACAGACATGTGCCACCACACCTGGATAAATTTTATATTTTGAAGAGACGAGGTCTTGCTGTGCTGGCTGGTCTTGAACTTCTGGCCTCAAGTGATCTTCCTGCCTCAGCCTTCTTAAAGTGCTAGGATTACAGGCATGAGCCACCACGCCTGGCTCAAGCAGAATTTTAATGTGTCTTAATTTTATGTTTTTAACAATTCAAGAGTCCATAAAGTCCATTCTATATACAGTATGCTACCTAAGATCATTATATGCTATCAAAGGGTGTTTGCAACTAGTTCCTAAAACACATTCAACATTAGAATCACCACTAAAGTTATATATTATATAGAAAAAAGAAAAAATAGTTTGTACATAAAAAAGAGCAAACTCTACTTTTCAACTTCTAGTTGTGCTCTCTCAGCTTGGCCTCTTAAATTTCGGCATTCTTGTTTTAACCTCTCCACCATTTCCTTCAGCATTTGGTTTGAATTCAGCAAGTCATTCTCTGACTGTGTAAGTGAGGTCACTTGGATCTGCAGACGACTGATTTGCTTAAAAGAGAAGAAAGAAGAGAAACATAAGGCCTCTGAACAAATGCAGTAAGGCATGGGAGACACAGAAGTTACCAAGCATCTCTCCCTTGCAAATGCCCCAACCAGCTGGTATGTCTTGAGGCTGTCCGTAAATAAAATAATAAATAGTGGCAGCTAGGGTCACTTATTATTATAACCAGAAACCAGCAAGAACTGTGTCCCTCAGTCACTGAGTTCCCTCCCTCCTTTCCCAAAATATGTGGGCCAGAAGAGGTATTGGGAGGGGGAGGAGGGTTCTGAGGAAGAAAGCAGGGAGATGAAAAAGGAGAACCCAATGATTTAGTCTCCTTTCACTCTAGCCTTCCCTTAGCCTCCTAGGAAAAAACAGATTCTAAAAGCAGGTCAGCTAAGAAAGCAGCTAAAGAAATCTGTTCTCCCCTTCCCACATACCCTGAGATCAGCAACCTTCCAGGAGTTCTGTTCTCTGAGCAGTCAAAATCATTCATTGTAAATATTATTCATTGTAAATTCACTGTTTTTAAATGGTTTCCAAGCATTCTGTGTCCAGTGCTGGGCAGAAGAAAGATGCTCCCAGATATCTAATCAATGCTAGGAATTCCTTGGCCTCTAGAGCCATTTATCAAACCACATAACGTCACTCAAGTCTTTTTCTCCATCCCAATTTACCTTTTCTGGGAGTATTCTTTCTCATGAAAAGTGGGTAATTATTTAGTTACAGATTAACAGGCTAGAAAGATTTACACTGCTTCTAAATTATATCCAAATAATCTTCATTTGGGACAATTATATCTACTTCCCCCACAAACCATTTTACCAATTATTAAGAGTCCTCATTTTTCTTTCACTTCCTTTTACCTTTCTTAGCCATTCTCTGAGAGACATTTTGGAGCAAAGACAGTTAAGAGAACAGGGATCAAAAGAACCCATTATGAGATTCAAGGATAAAAAGAAACAAGGTTCTTATACAATAAATTAAATAAATGGAAAATAATCCCATTACTTCCTGATGGTAGCAAAGTCAAATTAAGATAGGACTCTGAAAGTCCACAGAGTAACTGTTAGCAGAATAAAGTAAAATGCTATGTCTCAGATTTCTGTTTTAGAATGAATTTCTCCATATAGAACTATTCACACTTTATTTTTACCTGCCGTGGCAAATATTAAATCTGTATTATAGCTGCCTTAACAAGCAGCCTTCAAAGAGCTTAATACCTCTCCATATCCACAGGATGACACAAAGCCCAATGCCAATGATACTAGATAACTTCTCTCCAGGTATCAAACATTATGTGCATTTAGTTGAGACTTAGAAACCATAACACATGCAAAACAGTACCAGCTAGCATGCAAGCATAAATTCTAAAAATGGAATTCTTACTACTTCATAATTTATATGGTTAAAAAACTCCAAGAAAACAAAAAAGAAAAGAGAATTCAGAAAAGAACGTTCTTTCATGTTTTGCCCAATCTTATACAAATCTTTCCTGAATCCAAATAACTTTACTTAAAATATACATTTCCTTCCATAAATACAACACTCAGATTTCCTAGGGCTGTAGCAAGAAATACCCCATGGAATAAACGTAAAGTTACAATCAATCGCACATGTAACTTAAAACCTGGATGATCTTTCTAATCAATTTTATAAATTCAGAATATCCAAATACTGTCCTAACTATAATTTTAAAAAATTCATCATGAGCCACAGCATATACATATCTTAAGAATAACAGCAGTTAGGAAAAGAAGCTTACTAAAGCAAAGCATAGAGGTTTTAGACATTTTATCTTTACATATCAACCTCATCAATATGTTACCAATTGTGGTGATTAGATTTTCTAAATACTGATGATAAAATTTTAAAAAAATATGCAAAACACAGATTTAAAGTATTTAAAAACATAAAAACAAAATGTTTGCTAAAATCATACCTGTTTTAGGTCAGAATTTTCATTTTTTTCTTTCTCTGCATTTTCAATAGTCATAATTTGTTGTTGAAGTTTTAATCTAAAAATCACAACCCAATACAAAAGACATTATTAGGAATTTATAGGTCATTTATTTCACTGAATTAGATAATCATTTTACTGAGTGCCTATTTGACACCAGGCACTGTGCTATGCAAACTGGTAGATAACCAAAAAGACTGAGACTTCAGGCAGCCAGGCTGTGTTCACATACACTAAAAATGTAACACAAATCACAGCTTTTGCAATAGGAAAATCTACAAATTATGGGCACAGAGAGGATGAGAAATTAAGTCTGTCCAAGGGGACTAGAGAATATTACATGGATAAAAACCTGACAAGTAGGATTTTGATAAACAGAGAATAGCCCAAACAAGCAGCCTTTGGTGAAAAAGTACAGAATGTGTTGCTAAGGTATCAGAAAGTAATCCAATTTTAGGAGAGGCCAACTAACATCCATACAGTATTTTACAATTTAGAAAATGCTTTCAGACACACTGCTACTTCACTTTCATTCTACAAGGATACAGATTTAAAAGAAAACTATCTGATACAGGACACACCATCCTGTATTCTATAAAATATCTTATGAGCTTTTCATCCCTGAGATGAATGAACACTACACGATTTGCATCCTCTTCAAAGGGAATGATGCATCTTCAACCTTAAAATGCAGAGTGGCTCTGGTGACCAAATGAGTAACCTCATGCGGAAGACGTTATACTAATTAGGTTTGGCAGGATAGGCCCCTCAATCCCCACCTTTTTAAATTCTTCAAACACTTATTTCAAATATAATTTACGTGGCACTTATTTATAGCTTGGCATTATTAGCATGTCTTATCTGCCCAATTACAACGTGTTTATTGGGACAGCACTCTCAAGAGCATAGGGCTGTACTTTAAATATGGTAAGAATTCAATAAATATTTGTTAATGGACAGAAAGAACCCAAATCATGGATTAGATGTTTAAATGTTTAAGATGACTGGACAACAGGAAGAAACCTGAAGATACGACACATTGCGTCCTGAGATGTTTACATACAAATACCAGAAACAATGGATCTAAAGAAGTCCAGTCCTTTTCCTTTTGCTCCTTTGTCAGTACCAGTCACATTCTTATTTCATAATTCTAGCTACATAATTACTCTCTCAAATTTTCGGTGTACATCCTCCACTAAATGTTTATGGATATTACTAACTTGGTGCTTTTAGGTTACTGAGTTAATGAAGATTTCTATCCACAAAATCATGAAGACGAAAGTAGAGGAGAGAACACTGTGGGTCCTAGCTCAGGTCCAGAGTTAGAAAACCTAGGCCCCAAGTATATCCCAGCTCAGGTTAAGAATTTGGATATACTTGGTAAAGTAGTAAGAAACAAGACTTGGTTAAGAAAGCATTAATGGCCTGAATGCTTACTATATGTTACATAAATACAAAGAAAAACAATAGTGCCCTACAGACAAAAGCTGAAGCCCCCAAAAAAATAGTAAACAGTATCTGAATATCATCAAAATATGAAAGGATAGGAAAACAAACAAATAAGATATGAAAGCAATAAGAACACCATTATGGTAGACTACAGGAGATGATTTATAAGGCTTTTTTTCAGTTTACTTTGTTAAAGCAGTATTGGGTTAGAATCTAAAACTAATATATTTCTTCAGGAGCAAATTAGTCCATGATTTAAGATCATTACATTCAGGATTCTATGAAATAATGGAATTTAACATAAATAAAATTAACTTTGATATTATCAAGATTTAGGAATAAGATCAATGGTCTTAAATCTACCTTTTTGAACAAAAGAGTTCCAAAAGACAGTGCTATAGATATATGAATATATATCTCTTTTGATTAGGTTTTTGAACATTCAAGGTTTATCACAGGTCAAAAGAGAATAAGCTTTATAATACAAGTACAAAGTAGAGAAGAAAGTACAATTAATTTTCATTAGGGGATCAGTAAAAGCTATGTGAAAGAGATGCAATTTGTTGTTTTGTTTTTTTAAGAGACAGAGTCTCGCTCTTGTTGCCCAGGCTAGAGTACAATGGCACAATCATAGTTCACTGCAGCCTTCAACTCCTGGGTTCTAGTGATCCTCCCTGCTAAGTCTCCTGAGTAGCTGGGACTACAGATGTGTGCCACCACACCTGGCTAATTTTTTTTTTTTAAGAGACAGAGTCTCACTATGTTGTACAAGCTGATTGCCAACTCCTGGCCTCAAGTGATCCTCCCACCTCGGCCTCCCCAAGTGCTGGGACTACAGGCGTGAGCTACTGCACCCAGCCAAGAGATACAATTTGAACTGGACCTAAAAGGCAAAATAGGAGTCTGAGATAGAGAAATGAAAGATAGGTGAAGAAGAGTACAAATGATGAAGCAAGACCTTAGAGGAAACATAGGAGACAGGATTAAGAGCACTGCTCACTTTGGAAGTAGAGGTGAAAAGGATATTTTCACTAAAATAGGGAGGAGAGAATGGATAAAGATACAGAAATTCTAAGCTGGCAAGAAGCTGAAAAAATTCATATCTAGGAGCCTTCATTCATGTATGAGTGAGAACACAGCTGAGCAATAGATAGATAGTTTCCAAGCTGAAATAGCAGAAGAGAGCCAGGTTAACAGATTGGAAGAAAAAGAGAAGTACAAGCACTACCAGTTTTAATAACTTCAGTTAAAGTAAAGTAGATAAGAAAAAGAAATTTACATCTTTGAAGTGATTGGTTCTAAGAGATGACAAGGTCCAAGATGTGGCTAGGTGTACGGGATGCTAAAGTAGAATAAAGATAAAGAATGACAGCATGAAGATAAAATAAACTATAAGGCCAAGGTGTTAAATAGTTCAACAATATGGATATATAGTCACTAAGAATGATGGCAAGGGATAGAAAATAGAAAAAAGTTGAGCCAAATACCCAAGCATTCAGTGACTGCCGAGAAATACCCTGTAGGTCAGTAACTGAAAGAGATAAAAAGGCAGGTAAAAACTGGATGAAACAAATATCAAAGGAAAATTCAGCTTAACCAGTTAGTCAAACAATGGTCTAGAAACAGTGGGGTTTACAAATGCTGATTTCCCTTCTTCGTCCCTCATTGTAGGAGAGATAAAGAATAATAATTTTAACTTAAAAGATTGCCAGGTTACATGCTACCAGGAGGAAGTTTCAGTGAGGGTGTATTCAAAACAATGTCAAGATCACAAAAAAATTATTGGTAATAGAATAGGGATTCCAGAAGTTATGGTAGAAATTGTTAAAAGAACAGCTTTAATACTAGGAGGTGGGGAAAAATCAGAAGGTGAAGGATGAGAAGGTTGGGGAATAAGAAACTATGAGATCAAGTACTTTATACTTTAAGAGTAATTATGGAAATAGAAATAGTAGGCAAACTGGAGGGCTAAGGTACAATAGAGAATGCAGCTGTGGAAATATTCAAATGGAAACTTTGGAATATTAAGATGGAGCTGTTTCAAGTTCCTTTAAAAGTACAGAGCGCCAACTGTGATGGTCATGGTCTAGGTTTTCTGTGGTAGGCAGCTGATAGGTGCTATTTCCACACACAACAAATGTTTACTGAGTGCCTATAAATGCTGAGTCCAGTTCTAAGTATTGTAGATATATCAGAGAATAACAAACACAGAATTCCTACCCTTAAGAAGTTTACAGTCCAACAGTGCTGCCTGATAGAGCTTTCTTCAATGATAGAAATATTCTGTAATCCGTGCCATCCAATATGATAGCCACTAGGTACTGTTGCTATTGCACATTTGAAATGTGGCCAGCGCATCTGAGGAATTGAATTTTTAATTTTTAAAATTTTAGTTAATTTAATTTAGATTTAAATAGCTATATGTGACCAGTAATGCCATATTGGGCAGCAAAGGCTCTGGTATAACCTCTCAGCTTCATTTAACATGAATCTCTATTATCAAGGGGAAGCAACATATAGGGCAAGCAATGTAAGTTGTATTTGTGATTTCTCTATTGTCAAAGATTCCTAAAACAAGTGTTGTGAGAATGACAGTGGCCTTCTTATACCAACTTTCTGAACAAGCATAGTTCTTGCTTGTGAGCATTAGAAATTGATTCTGCCCATTATTAGCAAAAACGGACTTTCCTGGAAGAATATAAGAGCCTAATGAAACAAAAGAGAACTAGAGAACCAAAACTAGGATACAATAATTGACAGGAATCACAGGCAAAAACAAGAACTGCCTGGTCCTTCAAATGCTGCCACATAGCCTTCCATAGCCTACTTCCTAGTTCAAATTATGGGAGAGAACATGTCCAAATGACCAAGATGATTCTTCTTAAGATGAGTATAAATAGAAAGGCAGACATATTAAATGATAGTTTGTTGTTTTTTTTTTTAAAAAGCAAATATCCACTATAGGCAGCAAAAAAATCCAAACTGATGAAATCAAAATGTTTATAAAAACCTTAAGAAAAAAAATCAGAAAGCCCAAAATGGAAAACAGAGCTCTGGCTTTAAGCTATGCAAAAAATAAATTTACTACAGGTATCTTAAATGATCAAGTTCCTTTTCCCTTGGTTATATCTCCTCTCACTTCTGATATAAACTGCTTATCGCCCACTGCCTTTTCCCACAGGGAGAAATAGGCATACAACCTGAGCTGAGCTAGAGTGCCTGATCCCCATGGCCACAGTGGTAGGCCCAGCGATGGGCATGTGAACCAGACCCAAATCTTTCTCCAGATTTTTCTAAAGTGAGTTGGCAAGTAAGAATTCTGTTTTCTTTGGTCTCAACATATGGCCTTGGCCTCAAAGAGAAAATGGTAGAAAAGAAGCAGACAAAGGAGAAAGAAAAGAAGAAGAAAGGAAGAAGGAGAGAAAAGGAGGGAGGATGCCACTCTGATCACATTTGCATTCCTAGATCAGGGTGTCCATGAGACCAGCATAACTCCTGTCCTTTCCACAACAAAGGTCAACCAATAAAGTCCCCTTTTTGGCTTGCATTAGTTGGAGTTGGGTTGCTGTCATAACCAAAAGTTGACTACATACTTTATTACACTTAAAT